ACCCTGCTCTTGTGCAAGCAGCGGGTCCACGATCTCCCAGCAGTGGGTTTTACTCGTTTTGGACACAGGACAGGTCTGCATGTGGGGTGAGAGGGGCTTTTGTAGCCTGTGAGCCAAGAAATGTTGCTCCATCCCTGCAGTGCTGAGCTGTGCCCCAGCCCCAAGTAGTGGGTGTGCACATGGGCCATTCTTTTGGGAGAATTTTCTTTTTGGCATCAATGGGGCCAGCATTTCAAGGTTTCCTGGGCAGCCCTCTCTTATTGGCATGTAACTCCAGAAGCCCTTTTGGAGAGGAGTCCCCCAAACCCTTCTGGATGGGAGGGCTGCCACCCTTACCTGAACCTCCAGCGCTATTGCAGCACTCTCCGTGGTCAGCTCTGGGTCTGCTCCAGGGGCCATTAGGAACCTATTCCTTAAACCACACAAGCATGAATAATTTTTTCAACCCCATTGCCGCTCCCTCAAATCTCCCTCTCTCACCTCGAGCAGGCTTGGACTGCGATATCGACATCCCCAAAACTATCCAGATGGTACGCAGGCAGCGCTCGGGCATGGTGCAGACGGAGGCACAGTACAAGTTCGTTTACATGGCAGTCCAGCAGTTCATTGAGGCTGAGCAGAAGAGGTTGGAAGAAGAACAGGTGAGTCCTGTTCAGCTTGGTTGGAAATCCAGGGGCAGACCGTGGCGCACGCCAGGCACCGCGACCGCTTCCCCTGCTGCCTTCGGACTGGGACAAAAGTCCTGCACCCACTGCTCCCTGCTGGATTTGGGATGCTGTAGGGCTTTTCTTCTGCCTCAGCTCTGACTGGGGTTTTAATGTCTCTGCCTTCTCTTTCAGAGGAATAAAAGGAAAGAGCGAGACTACTTGAATATCGGCTACTCTCCTATGGAAAAAGGCCGAGCCAAAGGGCAGCCTCCTTCGCCACGGGCACAGTCTGTGTAAGCTGGATATCTCTGCTGGGTCTAAAAATTCCCGTAGCAGCAGGAGAATAGCTGCAGTGTAGTCCCCAGTAGCCACCCCTTGCCAGCCTGTTCCTGGCTGGCAGATGGCAGTGCCTCAAAATAAGCAGGTGATCCCACCACGCTGTCAGCATGCTGTGAGCAGCCCACCCGCCTCCTGTCTTGGAGTTTTGCACAGGCTTTGGAAAGGAAAGGGGGAAATAAAACCCAGCCTTCGATTCCTGCAGCCCCACAGCCTTAGCTCTGGGCTGCTAGGGAGCGGAACAGCATCGCAGCCACCGGGGGAGTTTTACAGCAAAACCTGAAGGAAGAAAAGAGGAGTCCTCTGGGTCCTGCTTCAAGGGTTTGGCTTTGAAACTGGAGCTCTGCGTAAATGATGGCAGGGAGGAGTGTGAGGAATGGAGTTAAGGAGCTCCAAACGGCCAGTCCTGCCAGCTCCAGGCATCCCGAGTTGGGTGCTGGGTGTCAGATTGGCTCTAGAGGTGCTCAGAGCTGCTTTGCAGTGTCCCTGTCAGAGAATAACAGAATATCCCGAGCTGGAGGAGAGCCACGAGGACCATCAGGTCCATATCCTGGCTCCACGCAGGACCACCCAAAAATCAGACCACGTGTCTGAGAGCGTTGTCCAAACACTTCTCAAACTCTGAAGGGCTCAGGGCTGTGACCACGTCCCTGTGCCAGTGCTCTCGGTGAAGAACCTTTTCCTAACACCCAGTCTGACACTTCCCTTCCGTTAGGTTTTGGAAAATCCAGAGAATTGGGTATGTAGATTAAAAAAAAAAAATAGGAAAAAAAACAAAACAAAACAGGAACTGTGTGCACTGATCCTGCAGGAAGGTTGCACCCTTGAAAGCCTGGCACACAGAGGAAGGCTCAGGGCTCTGTTCCCCAGCTGGATTCACACCTCGGAGGGACAGCTGAGCCAGAGGATGAGAGAACAGGGCCCCAAACCAGTGTCAGGGCCAGGGAGGGAGAAAGGGAGCTTGGTTGGGTCATTCCCCGCTTCCGACCGGCCACCTGCCCCTGGGCAAGGATCCAAAGCCCAGGCCGGGCATGACAAGGCTTTGTGTCCTGACAGGGTGGATGATGAATCAGCTTCCGTCTACGAGAACCTCAACATCAAAAGCCCCAAGGTTTCAGGGATGAGTAACACGGGGCGATAAAGAGTCGGAGGTGAGCTGTGCGGAGGCTGCCCAGGTAGGAATGCTTCCCGTGGTTAACCGAGTGTCTCTTTGCCTCACCTCTCACCCCAGCCTTCAGCTCAGCACACGCACAGCTCCCTGTTCACAGCAGGGAAGCCAAACGTGCTCTGATGAAGCTTGACAGAGCCTAAAGACGCGGCTGTGGCCAGGGAGAAATGGGGTGGGGAGATCTCAGTAGGCAAACGTGCTCGTTTTAATAAAAAATGCTACCTGTACTGCAAGGGACAGGTCTGCTTTTCGGACTTGGGGAGCTGGCAGGCACTGGGAACAAATCGGAGGAACTTTGCACACCAGCAGTGTCTCAGCTCTGTGCCATCCCCATCCCCTTCCCTCGGTTATAAACCCTGCCCTCTTTCTTCCTTCTTGTCTCGGCCTGCAGGATTGATGGTGTTTACGTCCACCCTTTCCACGTGCTGCAACTGCGGACAATGGTTTTTTGCCCTTTTTGCCTTCCCCTAGCACCTTGGATTCAGCAAGGAGTTCAGAAGCTGGCTGCAAGAAGCAAGCAGAGCCTGCGCCTTAAGAACATGCCTTGACCTAACTTATTCTCGAGAAGGATCTTCTCCCGGTCTCCCCTGTATCAGTAGGTTGATATTTATGTGGAAGTGCCTCTGGACATTCGTTGGGCATCAAGGCTCAGTTTTAATTTTTTTTTTTTTTAATTTAAGATTCTTATTTTTTACACGCAAATCGTTAAAGGAATGGAAATGACTGTTTGCTTAGGAGCTTTCCCAGGGTTGCCCGTTTAGGGCGTTAGCAAAGTATTAGTGCACTCGGATGTTTTCATTAGGTCGATCATTTCCAAGCTAGAAGTGGCTCTCGGCTAATTCCTGGAGTAACTTCGCTGCCTGTGGAGGTGAGGAGGAGGGAGCACGGCCTGGCCACGTCTATCCGTGCCTCTGATTCTTCTCCTCACGCTTCTTTTGGGTTATCCCAGTTCTAGCTTTCTATGCAAGCCTGCCAAAGCACCCCGGGCATCCCTGCTGCCACCGTGCAGCAGGAGGGGGTGCGCGTGCCTGAGAGCCCACGGAGCTCGGTTTTTGGAGCAGAACCGGGGCCGGAGGGGGGCATCTCCACCCTGGTGCAGGTCTGAACGTTGAGCTCTGGGAGATCCCACCTAGCTGAAGGGTGCTGAAGAGTAGGAAAGCAGCTTTGGCTGTGCACTGTGCTTTTAGCCACCCCCGAGCGAGCAACACAGCGTAGGATGCTAGACTTGAGCTGAACTTGAGCTGGGCCCCTCTGAGTTGGACGCAGCTCTGCCGTTACCTTGCTGTATGAGCTCTTTTTTTTCCCCTTGCAACCGTCCCACAAGGCAAGTGCTGTGTCTGCGGAGTAGGGGTGCTGTAGGAGCGCTTGTGGCTTGACCAGTGCCGTGAAGATTTGTGTTATTGAGTGGAATATTCCAGCTCTGTTGATTAAATCTCGACTTGTGACTCCCAGGGCTCCCTGCCGTTCCGGCCCTGAGGTCTGCAACTAGCCCTGCCAAAGAACCCCCTTTTTGCAGGATGCACCAGGGACTGAAAGTGCTCTCTCTGGGGCGTTTTGGGCTTGAGTGCCAGTGCCTGAAGCTCTGGAGCATGCGTGGGGACGATGCTGGTGTCCTCCTAGGTGCCTGGAAGAGGGCAGACGTGCGGCCCCCTGCGTGCTGGGGCACTGGTGCCCAGGGTGCTGGCTCCCCTGGCTGAGCAGAAGGGGTTGAACAAAAGCACAATGACAACCTTGGCTGTATTTCCTGGCTGGTCTTCCTGCTCCCTGGTCACAGGGACGGGAGAACTGTTTATTTTTATTGCACTTTTAATAAATGTTGAATATTCTCAAGGCTTTTTATTTCTGGTTTCTTTCTTTCTAAGCGCTTTGCTCTTTGGGAAAGCGACAGAGCGTCGAGTGGTGTGGACAGCAGGGATGTCTCCTAACCCCAAAAATACTGCTTGGGGGCCTGTTTCCACTTGCTTTGATCCTTCCTTTTGACTATGCATGAGTGTGAGGTTCGGCTGCGTGTGAGCTAGACCTTCAGCCCTTCTTCCTCAGTAGGCGGTGAGGAGGGGAAGTGCAGAGGGACAGTCCCCAGAAGGATGCTGCGACAGACTGCTAGGAATAGCCGGAGCTGTGAGAACATCTCTGTGCTCAGTTTGCCACCACGACAGATTTTATGAGGCTGTTGAGCTGAAGATATTATTTCCCTCTCGCCTGCCCTTAGGTCCCATCAGTGGGACTGAGCGCCAACCAAGATGTGCACGGCAAAGCACTTTTGCTGCTTAGCATCAATTTGCTGGGCTTTCCAATGCACCCCGTGTAAAATGGAAGTGCCTCCTCTGCCTTAAATCTGCCTTTCCCAGGAACACTCTGAAGTTGGTGCTGGGAAGATAGCGAGCACCAGGGAACGGGCAGGGAGAATCCCTCTCAAGCCCAGTGCCTCTGGTGGCTGCTGCAGTGCCTGGGGGGGTTCTGCAGCCATGTGGCTGGCACAGATAATCCCACCTGCAGCCCAGCAGGAGGTTTGCATAACGACAGACTTGGGTTATTTCTGCCATTGCTTTGGCTTTTTTTTTTTTTTTTTTTTTTTTTAATTTTATTTCAAACCAGCTTTGCTGCAAAGTGAGACTGGAAACGTCTTTCATCCAGCTGGCAAGAAGCAAAGGATGAGCAGCCCTGGCAGCGTCTCCTTTTTCAGGTTAAATCGGGGAATTACAGGGGCAGCTGCATCTGGGACAACAGCACCTCGATGGCAGTGAGTATGAACTTCCAGAGGTGCCAGACCCGGCACTGCTGAGCGGGCACCTCCAACTGCAAGTAAGAGGGGAAAATGTGGAGTAAATGCTACAAATTGACACCTCGCGTCGTAGAAAACATAATTTAATACATATACGTATGGTACTTGCAAACAATCCTGTCTTACATCCATGTGTTTGAATAAACAAGATTTAATTGTAAGCCGCCTTCTTCACGAAGACCTTTGTTAATCACTGTCGGAAAATCACTGCTTTAAATAAAAATATCGTGTAAGCAACTGGCCCGTGTCTTAATACTGACACCTTTTGAGATTAGGAGGGTAAAGCTGTCAGAAGCTGGAGCTTCTGTCGTTTTGGCGAGGATTTGCCTGGGAGAGGCGTGAATGAAGCTCACCGAGGGGCAGCATCGTGCTGGTGTGCCTACCAGAGCTCACCCTGGGCGCGCTCATCCTTCCAGGTAAGGGATGAGTGATTTTTAAGCACCTTCTGGGAGGAAAAAAAATAAATAAATGCTACTCTCTTCTGTTCACAATTTCAGCAGTGCCTTAGCTCGTCCCGGTGGTAACAGCTCCGGTGAGCGGCGGGGATGGATGGGTTTTGTCAGCAGGAGGCAGCATTTAACACCTCCAGCACCCAACGCACAACTGAAATGTTTCAAGGCTGTGGGATAAGGCTACTCCTCACCTGCTTGTGCAACTCTGACATGTCTTTACTCTCCCAAACCCAGCTCCTCGCAGGAATAAGCATGTAGATCCTTCGGTTTGCAAAAAGAAACAGCCCTTTATTCCCCAAGGGAGGTGGAAGGAACTACACCCACTGTCATCTGGTATCCAGCCAAGGCCCCTGCGCCTCTCCGGGTGAGCAGTCCTAGAAGTGAATCCGTCGCCCACCGCACCTTTGCAACAGCTTTCGAGGCTCTGGTTCCCATGGAGAGTTGGCAGAGGGATGCTGACAGCTCCTGAGAGCGTTTCTGGGCCAGAGACAGCTTGGCAGGCACGGGTTTCAGCAGAGCTCTTGGAAAGAGGGTGCCTGCACCCAAGCGCAGCCACGGAACGAGTGTGGAGACCTCGGGGTGTGCAGGCACGGCGAGGGATGCTGCCAGGCAGCGAGCCCTGCTCCTGCCTCCCCAAAGTGCCTCCTCGCTGGGCTGCTACTGGAAAGGGATCTGCGTGACGGCTGGGGCTGCCGTGGTGTGTTTCGGGGGGAGGTATTCCGGCCTGCTCATCGCCACAGTCCTGGTGAAGCAGCGGAGGTTCCCCGTCTTCAGGGCGCACTGCACCGGCCACAGGATGATGCAGAAGAGGATGATGATGAGGGCCGAGAGGAGGACGATGCGCTTCCAGTCGTCGCACATGTCGCAGCGGGACAGCCTCCCCGCCAGCCCCGTCGGGGGAGCCTCCGGGCTTTCGGGTTTGCTCATGGCGACATCGATGGAGATGCACGAGTCGGGGTTCTCGGGGTCGTCGGAGGACCGGCGGCAGCAGAGCTTGGTCCCCTCCATCCACAGCACCTTCTCCTGCTGCAGCTCAGGGGGCAGCGTGGCGAGGAGCTCCTTGCTGGTCTCGAGAGCCGGGACGCCTTCCAGGGGGATGCTGGTCAGCTGGCGGCAGAAGGGGCAGGGGAGCTGGTCCTCGGGGTGGTTTGGGGGCAGCCCTTTGCTCAGGCGGGCCACGCACTCCAGGCAGAAAACGTGGGAGCATTGGAGCAGTTTGGGCGTCTTGAAGGTGTTGTCGTAGGTGTTGAAGCAAATGGAACATTCGACGGGGGAGGTCGGCTTCGGGGAGGTTGGGTTTGGAGAGCCTGGCTTGTCGGTGGGGGACCTGGCTTTCCTCTTGCTGTCCCCTGGGGAGGTGATAACGATGGGGCTGATGGGGATGGGGGCTTCATTTGGAGAGGCGGGGATGGGGCTGGTGGGCGAGTCCGGGGTGCTGGAGTGCCACAGCTGGGTGAAACACGACATGACGGTGCCCGGGGAGATAACGAGAGCCCTGGGAGACTCTGGAAGAGAAGACAAAAAACACCCCTTTAGTTCTAAACCATGCAAAAACACCCATCACCAACCTTATCCTTAACCCCATAGGAGGACCGAAGAGCAAGTTCACGGCTTCTGCTGCGTCCTGAGCCTGGAAGAGACCCCTGCTAGAGGCGAGAACAACACGCAGCCTGTTGGAAGCTGCATGCCCAAGGCGAACAACCTGCCAAGAAGCAAGCAAGCAGCAGTCCAGCCAAAAGTCCACCGTCCAGCCAAAGCCTTTCCACCAGAATCCCCCTTGGCATTAGAGACGGCTGCAGTCCTTCCCCAAAAGTGCCTCGCTCTGGGCAGAGAAAACGCACAAAAACCTACCCCAGCCGGTGCTCCCCGACACCTGGGCAGGGAGGAGAGCAGAGGACTCCATGAGGTCGAGCAGGGACCTCACGATAGCAGTCCACTAGGCTGGGAGGCACTCAGATATTATGGTGGCAGCATGAGCAAGGCCTAAGAGACAGATAACACTGTTCAGTCGGGGGGGTAGCGGAGGGGTGGTGATGCTCTCAGTGCGCTCAGACGGAGCTTTGGGTGCCGAATCGTGGCTCTCTGAGCCAGGCACCACCCAACGATGCTGTGCTGGTGATGCACAGAGGGATCTGAAGTCTTCCAGGCAGCAGCGGGACCGGAGGGAAGGGAGAAAACGTAATTTTTTTGCAAAAATGTGTCCCATCCTCTGTCACCGTGACGCAGCAAGAAGGGAACCGTTGGAGGAAATGGCCTTTGTGCCGGAGCAGGGGGAATTCTCCGGCGTTTCCTTGTTGCTGCATTTTCCGTAGGAAAGCAAACTTCTGTCCCTGCCCTCAGCCCTGGGGGAGTGCCGGGCACCCCGAGCCCTGCCGCGTGCTGCCAGCTGCTTTCTGCAAGCAGGGGCGCGGAGCTGAGCGGCTCGCCCGCTGGTTGCAGCAAATTGATTTACAACCGAGTTACCCCAGCCCTTCCAGCGAGCTTGGTTGCCAGTTTATAACCTTGGATGCCAGTTCTCCAGCCCAGAAACGCTGCCTTGCCTGCGTCCTGCTATCAGGTGCGTGGCCTTTCCGATACCGAGCCTGAAAGCAAGCGTTTAGCTGCAGGAAATTCGCGGCGATGGCCGCGGTGCTGCCTGCCCAGGGAGCATTTTCTGGGGCTGTGTCACTGAACTGGCTGGGCTTGATTCTTTGTCACCGGTAAATCTCCCAAGACAAGTCAGAGACGTTCAGATTGCTGCTGTAATTACAGCTCTCCACTCGATCCAGCCGAGGCTTAGCAACACAGGCTGCACACTGTGTCTTGAGCAAAAAAAAAAAGGCTAATTCAAGGCATCAGCAATACTGCGTATTGCTACCACGGCACAGAAATCTCTCCGTTATGTAAGGACGAAGGATTCTCACCTCTCCCATCACAGCAAGAGCTGCCAGAGCCAAGCCAACCTTATGTACCCAGACTACACCTATGGAAGAAAACTTTGCTTTTAGCTAAAGCCGCTCTTGCCTTAAGTGTTTTTCTTTTTCTCTTCTAAACGAGGCTCCTCCTCAAGTTAAATTTTAAGTTGCAGTCAGACTACCTGCACTTTTCAGCAATATTTGTTTTGTAAATTTTGGTTTGTATTTTTGCCTTTTTTTTTTTTTGTTGTTCCTGGATCACCATGCCGTTTTTTATTTGGCACAATCTGCCAGGTTCTGATGAATCACAAATCCAAGCCCTGGTTGGTGCGGAGACACAGGAAAGCCTCGTTTGTTTTTTTTTGTTGTTGCTCTTCAGGTTTTTACTAAAATCTTCTCTCGTGCAGCCCTCTGTCCCCCATGTCCGGGTCTGTGCAGGCCCTCGGCGTGGAGAAATTACAAGCAGCAAGCCTCAGAGCAGAAGGTAACCTCAAAAAAGGGCATCCTTTGCTTACCCACACCCCAATTTCATACCCTAGTCGAAAAAGATGCTCAGTGGGGATTTTTACTACGGCAGCATCCCGACAGTAAACTTAAGTGCTCTTAAATGAAGAGATGAGCTTTTGCCCCTGCCTTCCCTTTGCTCGAGATGATCGTGACACCACAAATACGCGCTGGTTTTGATAAATTTGGAACCTGCTCGTGTTTATCTTGGCGTGATGAGTCAACGTGATGAGACACGGCACAGGCAGCTGGCTTGAACTGGGGAAAAACCAAGAGCAGGGGACAGCAGAGATGGGGAAGGGCAGTGCAAAGCCATCCCTGGGAAGCCTGCCCCTCGTCTGTCGGTGTGCTGCTGCAGCACTGAGAGGCAGAAAATTAACTTGGGTTTGGGCAGCAGCTAGCATGGGATCCACAATTTCTCCTGGACACCACTGCTGTGCTACTAAACCCTGGTTTTCTTCTCAGCTGGGCTTATTTATTCATTTTTTTAACTAGATGATCACATGAATATTTTAATACAAGGCAATATCTTTAACTGTTCAGGCTCCCATGGCCACACTGCTCTTCCTCAGCTGTTTACACCGCTGACAAGCTGGGCTTGCCAAAAACTTTGAGAACACAACCCAAAAACCCTAAACCATTTGGGACAGCCACACTTGCTCGGCTTCAGACCCAAGGAAGGTACTTTCCACCTCTCAGCAACTTCGAGAAAAACTTCTTTCCGTGCCATAAAGTCAGACAAAAGCCACCACGCGGCTCAGAGCGTGGCCAGCCCCGTCCTGTAACACAAACCCCGACGATATCTTGAATTTAGCGCTACCGAGCAGACAGCAAGTCAAGAGGCGTAGGGCAGATTAAAGGCTATAAATACCTGGTCAGAGGGCAGTTAGAAGGAGCAAACCATGTTCGGGGCTCTTGCTTTCTACCCCTGAAGAGTCTTCTTTCCAGAGGATAGGCTTAGGCTCGGAGGCTTTTTATTTTCAAGCCTTCTTCTGGCATTTCAGCTCCCGGCAGCTTTCTGATTTCTCTCCCAGCGGGGCAGGTCGGGCGAGAGCAGCGCCCTACCCAGCTCCCTGCGCCCGAGTGGCCGCGCCGCTGCGATCCGAGTATCTTTTATACCTTCCTGCCTAGGGGTGACTTACCTGCTCCACCTGCCTTTCCCAATTACCCCGAACCCGTCATTGGCTGCCAGGGCACTTCCACTCCGGGCCGGTTCCTGTGACAAACAGGGCAGGCAGGAATGCTCTCGATAAGGCGCCGCGGAGAGCAGAGCGCGCTGCTGGTGGCCAATGCCCCCGGGAAGTGCCGGGGAGAAATCTTTGTTTGTTCGTCCTCACCTTGCTGAAAAATACCCTCCTTGCAGGTTTTTACAGCTCTTCGCCCAGTTCAGATGTTTGTTTTTTTATTTAATCTCTCCAATTTTCAACGCCTTGGGATCCCGGGCACGTTTTTCACAAGGCAGCAAATCACCCGAAACAAAGCTTCGGGACCCCTAAAATCAACAATTATTTTCCTCGTGTTTCTTCCCAAAGGCCAAATAATTTGAAAATGCCTTAGATTAGGGGCAGGAACAGGATTCTGACAGTCAAATTTCTTGTGATTGGTAGGAAAAAGGAAATAAAAGGTTGCAATAGAAAAATCCAGTAGAAATTTAAATGCACAAAAGATGTTTATAAACTAATTGAAGCACTCTGTGCAGTTCTACGTCTGCTTTCAGGCTCCTGTGGAATCACTCAAAGTAACACCGTGTGGCTTCTGGCAGAGAAGGAAATTTTATTCCTTGCAGCTTTTGGCAGTTATTGACAGGGAAATATTATTCAACGTACAAGGCTTTTGTAGTTCAAAGGGCATCAGTTCACGATCCAGATAAATGAACCAACAAATTTGTACCCGCGTGCAGATAAGGAAACAGATGTGGGGGCGAGGAGGAATGGACAAACCTGCAAAATTTAGCCTCGTTCTCGTTTGTTGCAAGTAATTCTTTGCTCTGCTCAGTTTCTCCAAAAGCAATACAAGATTGTGTGGGGGTTTTTTAGGGTGGTGTCAGGAAGTCCCTTATGGATGGGAAACTTTGCTGTAAAGTGCATGGAACTGTTTGCTTTTTTTGGGACAGAAAACTGTCAAAATCCCCCAGATTTTAGTGACAGTCAGAGACAACTCACTTTGGCTTCTAAATTCCTCTACTCCAGGTCACACAGCTCAGCTCTAGCGAGCTGAAACCCTAAAGGAGGCCTTCAGGAATAAAAGAATGGTGAAACGACTTGAGGTTCAAGCAACCTTTAGGATTCAATCTAGGGTTACCTGATCCTCCCACAGCTGGAAGGACCTGGCCTAGGGCACGGTCCCTGCAGTGAGCTCCCACCGAGCTCCACGGGCTGACAAGTGCCTCAATGGAGAGGACAAATTAGGAGCAGCTTTCCCAGACCTTAATCAGTGGGGAACATCCCTCAGCAGGCTGTATTGATAGCAGGAGAGATAGCAGCAGCCCCCACAACTCGGCTGAGCGATGCTTCCCATCTATTTATAGGGCTGCGCGGGGACGAGCGAGGCTGGGAGAGCAAACGGTGCGCGTGGCTGACAAAGCAGGATGTCGGATGAGTGGCTGCAAGGCAGGATTTAAGCGTCTTGCCCACTTAGTCACCTGCGTGAGCACTTTGGCAAATTGAGCTCAAAATGAGCGATGTTTGGGTAACGTTGCAGCGCGCCCGGGGATGCTGCTTTGGGTAGCGCGCTTTGGGTACGGCTGAGATCCTCTCCCCGTGGAGTCAGTGGAGCACCAGCGAGCTTTTTATGATGATGAGAAAGATGAGCCGTGCTCTGAAGCCAGCCACAAGCACACTTGAAGCCCTTCATCCCTTTAGTCAGCCCAGAAGATGGGGAACTGGGGCAAACACTTGCCCTCGCCCTCCTCCCCCCATGCAGAGGCTCCGGCTGTGCAAGCGCTGCGTGCGCCCAGGTTTAGCACCGCGCTGGGTTGATGATGATGATGATGATGATGAAGGGGTTGGTTTCCAAAAGCGAGTGGGAGGCTGTCCCAGTGTTATTTCTGTCCTCTGCTTGGAGGAAGATGCTGAGTGTGTCAGGAGCTGGGCTGTGGGGGGATCCATGGAGACCAGGAGCACATCCCCACACCTTGGCACTTAGAGACCCCGTGGTGCTGAGTAGGAACAGTTCCTCTACATATACCTCTATTCATCATTTCCAAAAGAATTTTAAAAATAGGGCTACCAGCCTTTTTTCATCATAATCGTTGTCTGCATTGTGTATTTGGATGGGAACTGGCTCTCACATAGGGCTGGTGGCCCCAGCCAGAGCCCTGAGCACGCAGGACCCCACCTGCAGCAAATAACCCCGATTGAAACACTGAAGCCTTCAATTATTGTAGGCTCTCCACCATCACCTCTCCTTATTTCCCCAGTATCAGCAGCCCTTGTCATCTCATCTAGGACTGCGGGCGAAGTGATGAGATCTTCTAAGGGGTATGTACTCTTTTCGGGGGGCTTTGGGAAGGTTTGTAATGGAAAAGATTATTTCTAACAGCAGCTACCAGAGGGCTGAGGATGTGGCCATTTAAAAACCTGCAGGCTGGTCTTCTTAGTGTAAAAAGAAGCGTGTATGGTACAGAGTGGTGAGAAGAGACTGCTGAGTGTGGCTTTAACCAATTTCCTTGGCTTGTCTTCACCCCTGCTGCTGTTGCTCAAACATAACATTTTTTGTTCTCTGTGTAGTCCACCTCAGTAGATAAACTAAAGCCACTAAATGAGGACGGCTGGCAAAACAAAGAAAATAAATGAAAAAGCACCAAGCTGCCTCCGACCTCTCTCTCCCTCCCTCCAAGGCTAGCTAGTTTCTCAGTATGGTGTGCCACCCGCCTGGGGATGCTCCTTTTTGCTTAGGTTTCGGGTACTGCCTACAGCTCCTTCCCTTCATTAGGACACAGCCTAGGGCTGTATAGAGCCTGGAAGGGCTCTGGAAGGTCTTGCATGAGGAGAGGAGCCTGAGGGAGCAGCTGATGAAGCACAAAAGCATCCCGAGACAGCCTGCTCAGCCTCAGCTTTTGCAGGATTAAACCAGCCCTCCTAAAACAACCCCCCTCGTGCACCATATAACAGGACCCTGTGCAGGGTTAAACGTTCGCAGCTGGGTGATGCTGCTTGGGGTGTGTTTGCTATTAGCTCACACACTTCTGTGCCTGCTCCCACGCTTCTGGAAGGCAGTGAAAACATTTCCCACCCCCCCCTCTGCAGCCTCTGAGGGTTTGGGCACGGCCCCAGCTCAGTAGCTCTGCTCTCCACCTTGTGCTTTCATCTTAACCAGGGGGTGAAGAAATGGTGAGAGGCAGTGGTGGGTTTTCCTAGCATCCCTTTTTGATCCTCTGGTGTTTTTGGGAGTCAGAAGGCCCGGCACTCCTGCAATTAATGCTCTGGGGTGGTAAACAGCCCTACCAAGGGATGTTTCCCATGCTAACTCATGGGCTCTTGTGTTTGTCGGGCTCCACGTGCAGCCAGGTGTTCCCAGGGAAGCCTTATCATCGTGGCAGCAGTTTGTACCTGGGGCAAGACTGGGCTATTTAAATTCCAAAGCAGATATTGTGTACCGTCAGGAAAGAGCCTCGGTGAGTCACCAGCTAAGCTAGACGGGAACTCACCCTGGGACACTTCTAACGCGATTATATTTCGCCCTGCCGTAGCTGTTTGTATCGGACAATCTCCAGACACTTTACAGACATAATGAGCTATGTAACTTCCAGTAACTACGGTTATCACGGACGTTATCTGACTTTATAGGAGGGGAAATTCTGTGCTGCATGGGGAGGCAATGTTGGGAAATGCTCCGTGCAAGGAGCAGGGCCTGGGCAAGCTGCACCCCTTAGCATGGCAGTGACCCCTCAGAGCACAGGGAGAAGGTTTTAAACAGGATTTGGAATGGGGAACACCACCAGAGTCATGCACTGCTGATAAACATCCACTAAGGTAGCTCGGTATGGATTTGGAGAGAAACTGTTCCTGTTAGAGCCGTGGATCGAGCCCCTCAGGTGCCTCCTGCCCTGGAAGCGATGCCCATCTTGCCTGACCCATCCAAACCCGAGTCCTGGGTCCTCTGCACTTCACCTCATTCAAACTCCAGATCCTCCTGGCGCCTACCTTAGCACTGCCCTCCACTTCCTGTAGTCACCAGGAAAGCACCACGATTAGATAATCGTTACAAGGCACCGAGGCAATGCCGTAATTTTCCTGATACTCTGGAACTCGTGAGCGTGACTCCTCAGCAGCTTGAGGCTGCGTGATTCAGCCACTCATGGCTGGCTTCTCGAATAGCAGGAATAGCAGCCATTCCCTGCACATAAGGTCAGGTCTTTCTTTCTTTTTTTTTTTTCCCCCCTAGTCCATTATTTCAGGAGTAAGTGACTCGGACCGATGGATACACCGTGGTTTATAAATCACTGGTGAGCTGTGACACCGAGCCTAGCAGGCTGCTGGCTTCCCAAATTGTGCTGCTTCTACAGTGGTTTGCAAGGAAAGTTTGATATCACAGGTAGAGCTGCTCCAGATTTCACCAGTGTCTCCTACTACCTGCCACCAGGGCAGAAAACTGCATGCCCAGCTGATGAACTCGCTGAGATTTCAGTCTCTACAATTTTTACTATTTTCTATAGTCACGAACCTGTGCAGCCCGTCTCGTATAGCAGAGAGGAATCACCTTACAATTTAGCAAAGCCTCCAGCATTTGCAAGAAGTGAGAGCTTCGTGCAACACTGCTGTGCCTACGCAGGCATAACAAATCTCAAAAGAACCATTAAAAATAAAATAAAAATTGAACACAGCTGCATACACAAGTCCCTTTCCGCAGAGCACTTGTTGAGCCGCTTCTGAGGCTCTGCTAAGAAATCCTGAATGATGGTATAGGATTGAGAACCACCACGATATAGGATTGAGAACCTTATGAGAACCTAAAGAGATGAATATACAAGGTTGTAGCTCAAGCTTTTTTTTTTTTTTTCCTACCATGACTTTTCCAGCCTAGACCCTCAAACTGTTGTCTTAAAATGTGCTTATTAAATTTAATCTAATAAAGGTATTTGATTAAAATACCTTCTTTTTGGAAGGATTATTTTCATCAACCTGGCAGATCTAAGACGGCTCTTTGTAGAGCTTTTCACCTTTCTAGCTGGGCAGGTGGCTTTTCCAGGACACCTGCTAATCAGCGACTGACACCTAGGACACCACGGACATCCTAACCCTGTGGCCACATTCATTAGCAAGAGGGGAAGGTCCCTGGCACTTCCAAAATTAGGGACCAAAAGATCTTAGGGTTCCCAAGAACTGCAGTGCCAGCTCCCTTTCATGCTGTAAGTGGCTTTCAGATGGAGCATGTGGCATGTGCAAGGGAACCACAGCAATCACCCTCCTGAAACATAAATATGATGCTCTTCCCACGACCCAGTGAGGTGGCTGATGCTGTTGCAAGCCCTAAAATGAGCGCAGAGGCAGCTGCAGCCACAGCATGTTGCTGGTGAAGGAGACCAGCAGCAGGACTAGAGGGGTGGCAGGAGCAGCATGACCAGGCTCTCCCCAACACGTTATTAATTGCTCTCATAATTGTCCTGCAGAGGTCATGTTCCTGCGGTTACTCACTTCCCGGCCCTGTGCAGTGAGATGATGAATTTGGGAAATGGGGTGTGATGTCAGTGAGGAGGGGATGTCTGCAGGGACATCTTGCTTCCCCAGCAACTTCTCTTATGTAATGAGCTGCCTGTCCTCCGCTGCCTAAATCCTCCCCATCCATGTTGCCTAAATCCTCCTCTTCTCCACTTAAACTGTGCTTGGCTCGGCTTGCATCTATATGGCAGAATGGATGCTTCACCCCACAGTGGGTTTGTGTGTGCTCATGGGAGCATGTCCTGCCAGGATGGAGGTGTTGGGCTGGTAATTTATCTGACCAGGGATGTCTTCTGGTGTGCCAGGCCTGAATTCCAGCACGTTGCTCCCCATCAGACCACTACAGAAAGGATCTGATGGTGACGAGGGCCAGGCTCCTCCGTGGTGGCTGTGGTAAGCGCTCACACCCTGAGAGCTCAGTGCTAACGCTGATGTTTTGGGGTTACAAACAGCATTTTACGGGTTGATCCCTTTCACCTTCTTCAATCTGAAAGAGTCCACCAGCTTGAGGAGAGTCAAACTGGGTGCATCTTCTCAGCAATCTCCAAGGACAAACATGAATCTAAGCTCTCTGTTTCCCTGCTGTGTTCTTCCACTTCAGGATGAAGCTGCAATCTTCTTGCTCTTACCCCCACAGATGTAACCCCCAGTCCCTGTGTATGACCTGAGATGTCCACAGAGCCATCAAAGCGGGGAGAGTGGTGGACCTGGTAACCTCTAACTTCCAGCTGGGGGACGGACCGTCACACTTTGGTCCCAATGACACCGCATTTCTGAGCAAGCATAGGACTCCACCTACTGTTTCCTTCCCTTTCCCATCCCAGAAGCTTAATTATAGCTCCCTGAGACGTATCATGGTCATAAAGCTCTGCAGGAGTGAAAAGCCTCTAAATCCCCAGAGAGAAATTGTTCCTTCTCTGCCCTCTACCCACCCAACACAGAAATGATGGGATGTGTCATCACACACATCATCTCTGTATAAGGTGTCTGTGTTTGATTTGCACTCCTTCAGTATCTCAGCCATTGGTAGAGCTGATCTCCAAATGGTGGCTGAGTGTTTTTATGTGTGTGACACACCCGTAATGGCCAGTACTTAACTCGGAAGGATTCATCGGCTTAGTTCTTGTAATTATATTTGCAGTTGGATATACATTTGTGTTACTATCGTATACAGTTAATCATTCAACTGCTTAAGGAAGTACAGGAGGAGTAGAGGATGATCCCCTAGGTACAAGATTGGTTTGAAGTACAGTAAGCAAAGTATCTCAGTGCTTTTTCCATGCTGCAGAGAGCAGTTTGCACTTTGATCCTAAAGAATGCGGTGGGACATGAATGCAAAACATGTCCTCATATGAATTTGTAAATCTAATAGTAGATGCAGAGATATATCCCGACTCCCTGCGAGATAAAGCAAAGTGAACAGCAGTCTGCATCGGCACAAGGGTAAAACGCCCTTCTAGTGCATCAGATAAATTGTCACTATTACCTGTATATAGAGACATTTAAAAAAAAAAAAAGTGGGGGTATTCTTTGTGCCTTCACTAAAGTTTAATTTATACTTTCATCCCTGGGCTTCATTCCATCCCCAAACTCTTTGTGACATCTGGATCTGGGTCAGCAAGGCACCCTTATGCTTTGCATTCCAGCAAGAGGCACCAGGTCAGTTAAGGATCCAAAGGGAAAGAGCAATCGGGAGCGATGTCCTTTTAATATCTCTCCACCATGTTCCACATGCATATTTATTGTGCTATTTTGGCAAAGTAGGACACCAGAGCGCTTTGCAGCTCTCTCCTCGGGCTCTTGATGTTCACCCTAGGGACTGGCAGAGAGCTGGTGTTTCCCAGTGTGACTGAGAACAAAACCAGGCGATATCTCACCAGATCCTCCGTGGATACAAGCGGGTTTCACTCTGGAGCTCTCCAGCGTGCTCATGGATGCTGAGGATGCAGGCCTCAGAGGAATCAGGTTGGCACCTGTGCAGCCTTGGTGTCTCCTGTCCCCGGTGTGGCTGCACATGCATGCACACAGCAGCAGAGATAAACGCTGCTCTGCTCCTGCTTACACCATCCTGCCTTGTTCTTTATTCACTGTATGCTCTAAGCCATATGCCCTGAATCTCTCCGTTGCTCAGCACTTTGTACAGCACAGGGCATCGGCACCTTGCAGTTCCAGCGTAACAACAGCAATTTTCCAATAATATCACAATATTACTGAGCAGGATCTCTGATTTTTTTTTTTTTTTTACATTCACTTTCAAGCGTAACCCAGTGCTACACAACTGCTTGCACCGACTTCAGCAGAAAATGAGGGTGCTTATCAGCTTCCAGGAACAGACCTTGGGCTATAAGGAAAATTCAGTGTATCCTGCCCTGCCTCTCATTCTGAGAAAACTACCCTCAAACAGAGGAATGAAAACTTATAAAGTTAGGCAGTAAAGAACTATAATTGCTGCGTATTCTCCAAAGAATACCCCCAGCTAGTTAGCAGGATGAACGATTAAGTTCTAGACCGTGGGCACAAGGCAGCAGCCCCCAGAGGCCTAGTTCTGAATTCAGAGCCAGCGCTCAATTTTCGAGGCTGCCGTGTGGACACACGTTTCTTCAGCTACTAAATGAACTGCATGCCCCAGAGATCCTTCCTATCACTGCTCCATCTCTGTGAAAGACATTGGGGAAGATATTTGAGCTCTCCTGCTTTGGTGAAGGGGAAATACCAGAACAGAGATGCTGAATGCACATAAGCCAGGGCAGGACTGGCCTCCAGCCTTCCCCAGTTATTTCGTGGTGCAGGCTCCTGACCCCTCTGTCTGGGAATCCTTCCAGACCTAGAATTGGCCCCAAAAAAGCGAGCATGAGAAGCCCCAAGACCCCTACCACCCTTTGGAGACGCCAGGCCTTCCTTTTAACTGCATTGCCCTCGCCTTGCAGAAGGAAAGTTAAATACCAAAAAGTCTGGCACCTCCAAAAGGAGGCGAGAAGCTGGGGGCTTTAGTCGCTCAAAAATAAGATTTGTCTCCCCAAGTCTGGCTTTGTTGCTATTTTCTGTAAGAATTCCACAACAAAATATATTGCAAGATTTTTTTTTGCTATATACTTCTTTATTTTGTGCATCATTTACATTTATTTTAAGAGTTCGTGAAACAAATGACATCCACCTGCCTTCCTCACCCAGCACCACCTACTCCTTCGTGTCTCTCCCTGAGCTGAGGGGTGAATTACCGTCCTGAAAACAGACTGAAATGCCATAAAAATAAGGTCTTGCAGCCTGATCAGTGGGATCGCTGGTGCAGCACCACTTACAGGCTGAACCACTTTAGGGAAGATAAAGCTTTTGCACAAGAGACAGGTCATCTCCATGGTTTTTCTTTAAACTGCAGAACATCCTACTTTGTCTTATTATTAGTAACAGGGAGAAAGTGCCGGAGTTCTGGTTTTGTAACTGTGTGCTCTGAGGTGACGAGCTAGAAGACATACAAGGAGCCTTGGCTCGTCCTTGTGGCATTTACAGTGAAGGAGAGAGGAAAAGAAAAGCTGCTCCGTGCATAATCTGAGCGATCAAACGCGGCAGCTCTGCACATCTTTTATTTAGGGAATTCCTTTTCATCTGGGCAGGTGGATTCAGAGATTTTGATCCCCAAGCCACCCGCCCCCAGGAAGCAAAAAGCCAGCTGGCTCCATCCTGCTTATTTGTTTATAACAAATAAGAGTTTTAAGAGGTCTCTTTATGCCAACGCAGCACACCGAGGCAGTTTACGGCTGTCCGAAACGTGTCGCTGCGAGCGTAGTAGCCTCCAGCAGGTGAGAAATCACAAGTGCCATGTTCTAATACTGTATAATAGAGATTTTATGGCCATGAGTGGATGTCGGGAAAATTGCTGGTTCTTCTACTGGCTTCCTGCCCCTGCAAGGAGGCACATTACGTGCTGGCCTTAAAGCCCTGGCCAAACACGCACTGCCTCACCGCCACCATGCCCCCAGGTGGTGATGGAGGAATATCATGTTGGGGAGCAGGGAGCACATCATTTAGGGTGCTCAGCACCCAGGAGGGTAAAGAGGCACACCAGTGGGATGGGATTGATCCATCAGAAAGACCGTGAGGTGCCGAGGCCATGGCTGGACCTGGTGGCCTTGGGCACAGGAGAGCCGATCACCGCCAGGATGAGAGCATGCATTCCTCATCACTCATCCCCTGCTGAGGTCTAGAGGCAAAATGCTCACAATTATGCGACGGTGAGCATGTTGTTTCATTGTCTGGAGGGTTAAAATTTATGTTTTCATAAACATTCAGGTGAATTCCTTAAATTTTTATTGCTTTGTAATATGCTATGCTCTTGTCTAAGCTTTTTTCCTGGGTCTGGTTGTTTACTTTTCATTGTATAATCTTTAGGAACATTCAGAAACTCACAGAACACCTTTTTCAATTATTTCCCTTATTTATTTGCGTTTACTGAGAACTACATATTTATAAAAAAGCTGCATGTGAGGATGACACATTGCTTCTGGACCCAGAAAACTGAAGGCTAATTAGCTATTACATAAAAGAGAAGGGAGAACAGGGAGAGAAATCGTCGTATTTTTTGCTCAATATAAGGCAAACACGGGGTTAAAACCACTTCAAGCCAGAGCTCTGATCAGCCAGCTCCTGGAGGTGTGCCCACTGAGGAGGTGTTAATTTGGGAGGACTGGAGCATAAATAGGCAAGCCCAAGCCTAGGAAGGTTTTTTTTCCTCCTTTTGTTGTGCCTTTTTCTTGGCGAGCTGAAGATAGAAAACTGCGAATCAAGTCTTGGAGGATAAACCTGAAGAAAATGAGCTGTGATTACAAATTTGATGCCCACTGATGTCTCACCTGCGTGGCAGGTGGCAGTGATTTCCATCTTATGGAAGCTCTTTCACTTGGTGAGGTCTTCTGGAAGATAGTGCCACGCTGTCGTGCCTGGCTCTTCAAGAAGTTTTTCCTCCCCTCTGTGTGTATCAGGTAGCTCAACCTAGCGAGCAGGTTATTTTCTGTAAGCCTCTCTTGCCATAAGCTGAACTAATTCAAATCAAAATATAAGTTTTAAAGCTAGCAATGGATTTCCTCTGTTATTCGAGATGACAGCTCAAAGCTGAATTTGTGGGCAAGTCTGAGAGCACAAAAGCAAGGGTTTGTACAAAGAGGTAATAGCTTTTAGTAGACGAATCTGTTAAGCTTTCAGCTGTGAGAATGGCTGAAAGAAAATTGCCCTGAGCTTTAATGGAGAGATCCAGAGATAGGGATGTGAGGCTGGGGATCATGTGCTGCTAGTCTCCAAAACTATGGGAGCTATTTACTTTCATAAAAGGGAAGAAAAAAAAAAAAAAGACGCCAGGCTCCTTCCTCTTTCAGCAGCTACATGCGTGCCTTTTGAAGTATGCTGTGAATTTCCTGGATGTGAGAAAGATATTTACAAAATTATCAACTGCTTGCTCAGGAACAGCAAACGTAAGCCCCCGGGGACAGCTTAATAAATGGCAGAAACCTCATTCTCCGTGCTGCTTCAAGCAGGAGAGCCGTCAGACCTCCCAGTTTCGGGGGCTGCAACAGAAGCCTCCTGGCAGGAAATCCTCTTGCGCAAATCTGTTTCCTTCTTGCTTCCTCTGCTGCAAAGTTTTTATTTTTTTTCCAGAAACAATCCATCTCCTGAATGTTGTGGAAACTGATTTTGTTGTTTCTTGATTTATCCTTCGCTTGACTGTTCTCTTAGGTCCTTTTGATAAATGCTAGAGCCAGGCTTGCTCTCTCCAAGATGCTCTTGTGCTCTTTTCTTTTCACGTAGGGCAAGCTGTAAGTGCTGAGCTGTGAGCTGGTTTTTCTGAGACTCGGTGAGCCTCCTGCGAGCAGAGCACAGACATGAAAGAGGCCCTGACAAAAGAGGAACGCAGCGAACACTGACAGTGGGTAAGGCAGTGAGAAAATGCAGCAGTTCACTCCAGTCCAGATAAAGAAGCTTTTCAGGGGAGGAGAGCAAATTTCCCTCGCTGCTTCATAAATTGTGCTGCTCTGACAGCTGCTCAGGTGTGCCTGGGATGGCGGGGACTTCATTTTTGGTGCAAAAAGATGAGTTTTGTCTCTGTACGTGACCATACACCTCACATATTGAAAGGATTGTAGCCTTTGGTTTTAATATATAAATAGAGGGGCTGCAGAAATGATGGCACTGTATTTTGAAAATGCAGTTAACAATTCTGATTGCTCAAGAACATGATGCTCCTGCTCCTGCCCTCAACTTGGTACCAGCCACCTCGCTCAGATATTGCTCCTTCCTTCCCAAACACATTCGAGTTGATTTTGTAGCAGGTCCCGTGCCAGCATATGTTGTGTTTGGAGACACCTGGGCAACACACTGATCTCTTCAGGCCATGATGTGCCTTCACTGACACCAATTTTTGTGCTTATCAAGCCAAAAAAAAAAAATCCTACCAAAGCAGAATGCAATTTAGTTTTTAATAAAACTTAAATGGAAGCCAATATATCACTGGGAATCTCTTTTCAATGTGATAGTAATTAAAGCTATATATAACTGGGATCATTAAAACTTTAATATACTCTCATGTTTATTTATATAGCTCATATTTAATCTTTGTACTCACACCAAGAGCCTCAGGAGTGATTTTGTTCCTCCTCACCTCTTTGCCCTCCCTTCCCTTCTCCCTGGTTGTGAAATGCATAGATAATGTTTACAAAGCCAAGGAAATTGGACAAGATTTAAACCTTATTAGGTGTAATTCATTTAATTATGCATATTTGGTAAATTTACCCTCAACTAAGCATGCGGAAATAAACGGTTCATTAAGAATGATGAATATTTATGTTTTTCCACTTCCTACCTTTGCGTGCTTGGCAAATGTTTGCACGCGAAGACACTGCTTTGTTATATCACAAAGAAAGAACACCCAAGGAGAGAAGAAAACGTATAACACCACTACTACAATCTGCAGAGTGCTGTTTCTTGTGATAGAAAGTTTAGCTAATAGAGACATAAATCATCCTGATGCTCTTCTGTGCCTGTATAGAAATCGTTTAAATTAAGTAGAAAGGAAGATCCTCCCAATGTTACAAATCAGCAGATAGTTGGGTAAAAAAAATATATAATTTTGTTTAAACAGTGGAAGCTAGAGAATTTTCAATCAGTGTTGTATTTATCTATTCAAATTGCTTAGTTGCACAGGCTGTTATGTACTTGGAAAATCCTTTTCAATCCACTTTTCCAGGCAAGCTTTGCCTGCAATATTTAGCATCGGACAATCTGCTTTGGAGGTGTAGTCCTCAGTTAGGTTACACGTAGATGCTTACACTGATTAAACCAAATAATGTCATGGTCTTAAATTTCTAAGCTGAAATTCATTCCTTAGTAAAGGAAATATAAAAGTGTGTGTATGTCACATACTGCCTTACAATTATCAGGGTATTTTATGCATTTAAAAGCTGTATTTTGCAGTTCTCATTTATACAGTGTCAACATTTCTGACCAAATGCCAATAAGCAAGCACATCAATCATTGTCTCACAATGGGGAAGAAAGCTTTTAAGAAAACTGCTAGAAATCTATTCTAACATCTATGGCTCTGGCACAAACGTCGCCAAAGCTAACAAATAGCATTCTGGTTTGGAAAGGAGTGGCCCGTGACACTGGGGTTCCTCCCAGCACGGGTCCTGCTGCCAGGGCTGGGTGCTGGGGGGAATTTGGAGCCTGACAGCCCTGCTCTGAGCAGGGGACAAGCCATGGGCCAGTGGTTGCAAAGGCATCTGTGCAAACAGCTGCCCTTGGCTCTTGCTAGCTTGCTGCATGGCGAAGGCGAGATAAAGATGATGACCAATTTCAGCACGTCTGGCTTCCCGATGGAGCCGAGGAGGTTTCTAGTTTGCATACTGTAACTCCGCCGACCTGCAACCGTCGCTGCATGGCAGAACACCTGATGCAACCGAGGAGGAGTTGACTCAGAAATGTCAGATTTAAAAATAGAAGGCTTCAAAAGTCGTAGGACAGCCCTGCGGCTCGGGGAGGTCGGTCATCCTCCTACACATGCAAAACAGCAGCAGGATAAAGGGTGGGGAGCAGGCTGGGATGGAACAAAACCCGAGCCGTAATGACAAATGTCCCTTGCTGTTGTTCCTATGGTTCCTAATCCACGCTTTGCAGATATCTAGGAATGCGTAGATTACTTCAGGGAGATTTACATATTGGTATTTAGCTAAGAAAAATAGCCCTGGTTCCTCCTGCGCAGGAATCCTTTACAAAGAACTGCACAGCTCCATTAAAGGAAAAATAAAAAAGAAAAAAAGAAAGAAAAGCAGAAATGGTTGAAAAGCACCATACAAAAGAGAAGTTTTCAAGCTTCTGTTCTTTCTTTGTGTACTACAGTAGGAGCAGTGTAATTACGTAGGCAAAATGATTTTGTTGTCTGGTAAGCAGAATGCTTACAATGACTCCGAGCTTTTCACCGCTGTCTACAAAACCACAAGCGTGGTAGCAGATTGCCAGTGACAGCGTGGCAATATTCTTTATGGTAAACATAGTTACAGAGCATTAGTTTTCATATTTTGGAGAGAAAGGAGGTTTATCATCAGGGACAAAATTTTATGCTTCTGAACTTACTGGTTTTTTTGCTTTTCTAAACAGGAAAAGTCCAGTTTCAAAGCAATATTCTTATTAACACTTGATTGCGTTTCCTTTAACTGCTTGTTTTTATGATGTGTTTTTATCTCCAGTCCTTTCCAGCTGGGTTTCCAGGGATCAAACTTGAATTTCAGCTGACCTTCTAAATGTGGACTCCCAAAATATTTTAAACGGTAAGGTATTTCTAAGTTTGCACAGGTAGGAAAGTAATACAGGGTGATTGTAGCCTGAAGAAAAAAAAGGGCTTGAGTTCTTCTCTGATAATTTGTACCAAGCTTGGACGTAAGAATCATCCCATTGTTTCTAAATGTCTTTTGTTCACTATCAGACTACATGTAGTCTGTGGAGTCCTTATCTCATAGCTTGCTATAAAACAAGCTGCTATTATGCCCATCTGTTTTGTTCTTTTGAACTCTGGAAATATCTCCTGTGTGGATCAAGCCTGTGACTGCTTTCCTTTTATCTTCTACGTTAAAACTTGCAGGGTTTACCATAAAAAGCACTTGCAATTTAATTTTCCTTTCTAGAGCATTGCCTTAAGGGAAAAAAAAATGTGTAAAGGAAACGTGTAATTAAAATAAAGTCAAGTGATATGCATGTTCTTTCTGGTGCTATTAAAAATCCCAGCTCAAAAGAAATAGTAGAACAAGTTGTTTTAGTGGTAGTACATTAGTTTCAAACTGTCCATGAAAATCATTCTGGAATAGTCCCCTTCCCACCAGGACCCCTGTGCTTCTGCTTGGTAGGAGCATCACACACGGCAGCATACAGACCCATATGTTTTATTTCAAATGCCTAATCTTTGAAACATCTTTTGGCTTCTCTCGGTGTTTCTCAAGAAGGTCTTTCATTCCCATAACCCAGATAACGAGAAGCGAGGGAATCATCTCCATATTTCTCAATTAACAGTTAGGTATTCCCTGGATGCTAACTGTACAACCACCTCAGTTTATCCAATTACACCGGTAATACAGTTCGGAACGGTTGCTAGATGTGCCATGAATCCATCAAGATGTTTCCCCAGTCAACAGAAATATTGCCACCGGATTAGCAGACCATAAAACGATGTCAGTGCTAGCAGTGATTCTCCTGACAAGACAACTAATGTTTTTATTTCTGTTATGTAGGTCATATCTGCTTAAGAGCAATAACTTTCTGCTTGACTGCCTTGCTGTGTGTCATCCAGGTAATCTTCCAGGAAGGGTACAGGATGAGCAAATGTATTTGCGAAATGGAGTATCGTTTACCATCTGGCATGCATTGTTTGAGTCTTGTTACAAATTTTACAAACATCTTGTATATCCTTCATAAAAGCAGAAAGCTTTCAGGATTGTCCTTAGTATTAATGCATATCTACCAGTGGGCTTTTACCGTTTAAAGCTGATATGGGAAAGAAAAGGCTTAAGCTTTCCTATTACTGCTTTGATCCAAACCAGACCTTCACAACTGTCAATACGGAATGAGCACTGCTTAGTGAAGAGAAACCCTGGATATTTGTGATGTTGTCATTTGGAGGCACTGGCTGGCAGGACAGACAGCCTAGCAGAATTTCCGAGCAGGAGATTAAAGATCATGACTAATTTGGGGCAGTTTGAATAGGAGGGAGTACATATAAGAAGTAACGCTTTAATTAGCTACAAGTATAGTAGGTTGGATCTGGGAAAACTTGTCAGCATGGGTACAGGTTGTGTTATGCTCTGCAAATCAATTTTCCAAGTTTTTTTTTCCTTAAGGATATGGCATTCACTGAAAATTGTCACTGGTCAACGAAAAAAGGAACAGGCTGTGCTCTGGGGATTCCAGCTTTCTACAATAACCTTTAGTCTCATCCCTGTTACCAAATCTAGCAAAGCATCCTTTCAGACAGCAGCATCAGCGGGCAGTTGGGAATTTTCTGTGCTTTGGATGACAGCAATCAGGTTACGCACTGATGTGCATACCTTTAGCAGCCGTACAGAACGACTTTGTGGCAGGCTTTCTGTAAGAGCAGTTGTGGCGTAGAACAGAAATCTCTGAAGAAAATCATTGCCCAGGTAACTGTGCACTGTATTTTCTGCTTTGCTTCCAAGCTGCTGTGTAATGTGCACGGTGACAGCATGTTTGCTTTGTTTGTTAGAGGAAATCTTGGTAACTGCCTCAACCGATAGCTGAAAGCCACAAATCAGGAAGCCGTAAGTGACAGAAAGCATTAGTGGCAGTTGTGCACCGAGAGAGATGAGTCGGGAAGCTGAATACAGAAATCGAATGTAAGCGATACAGAAGCAAGGCTAGACTAAACTTGTGGGATGCTAAAGTATCCCTAAAGACAGCAGAGACGGGACAGCTTCCTTGCAGTTATACGGACCTCTGGGGATGCCCACATGTCACGCAGATGTACTGGGATAACCTGCAGAGAAAATAGATAATGTGATCTGTAAGAGCATTTTGTTTTCCTTTCTCACAGCCTCACAACAGCGTTGTGAGACCTATCAGTTCAGCAACATGCAATAATGGTCTTGTTTATATTAAAGCAATTTATAACTCTCAGTCTACTGAAGAAATGCAGTTTTGACACATTTTCTGCCAAGCACTCAAAAGAATACGCAACAGTTAAAAACACTGCAAAGTGATGTCTGCCAACATCATATGTTATGTGAGGGAAGCTTAATAAACAGAGCTGAACAGAATAAAATAATTCTTACTCTGCTGAATTAAAAGCAGTATTGAGGAATAGTAGTCAGCCTTTGAAAAGACTTTATGAATCATGTATCTGGATGTAATTAATTGTCATAGTAGCTTGCATTTTTTTGCACAAACAATGAAACTTTCCACAATACCCCAATTTTTCCCCAAGCTCAGATTGAAAGGTCACTGCAAAAAACTGCCTGAACCTTTTGTCCCATTTACTTACTCATTTGTGCTGGTGAAACTTGTGTTCATGAGCAGGAGTGTACTTTTGAAGGACTGCACTTTAGTTTTACTGCTGCAGTGGCAATAACTATGGGACTACCCAGAAAGACAAATATTTAGTGTATTCATTTGTTTTGTCAACATCTACAATTTTTCCAGCAATTTTATTTCGCAGCAGTGCTGCCCTCTGAATTATGGAAAAGTAATAATAATAATAAAGAACTAGCCATGCCTGTCAGAGTGCAGAATTTCCTCCTGACTTGTAAATTAAAGTGTTTGTTGACCCTAAATTCAAAACTCACAATTTCTACCTTTCCTGTCGCCATCCATAAGCTTTAAAGTAGCAAATCTTCCCCTGCACAGGCATGTGTTGTACAGATACTGAGTTTTATGAAGTAACTCGTTATTCTAGTTGTTGAGAAATGTAGTAAGTTTGGGTGTTAACTACTAAACTATTCATCAGATTTAAATCACAGCCTCTAACATGCATTGAATCTGTTAAGCAAAAAAATAACAATTAAAAAAAAAAAATCCAATCTCACTGTCACACAATTTGTTCAGCCAAGTGTCCTATTTTGTGAAACGTTGATAGAAGGCTGGAGAGAGAAGGGGTTGTGAGCAGATTATGAAGCTGCAAAACAAATTCCTGGTGACATATTTACAAAGTAATGCAAACCACAACATGCGGCTGAGAAAGCGAGAAATACTTCTCCTGGCTGTGAAGTCATCACAAGTTTTATAACTAGTGAACAACACAAAAAGCAGAAGGCTTAGTTGTTGTAGAGCCAAGGATAAATCTGATATTGAGATGAAGAAGTGCTTTTAAGTCAAAATACTTTGTCCTACTATTTTATGTTTTCCCATCAAATAACTCACAGAATCCAAAGGCATTTGAGAACCTTTTTAACCGTTCCGCTAATGTGCAAATTATGCATCTCTGCAAGTTCTGCCTAACCACAAGTGAAAACAATGATAACTTGTTTGCAGTTTCAGCCCTTCAGCTACTCGGTGTGTTTCTTTATCAGAAGCTGAACTCCATATATCATGAGATGCTGCACACAGAAGAACAGAGAACAAACAAGTCTGTCTCCCCACTGTCTGTCTCCCCCTCTTCATCTCTCTCAAGCAAGATGTACTATATTATACCATAAATTCACACTTTGTGGGAGAAACACTAGAACCGTTGTAGCAAAAGTTAAGTGGAGGAGTTTTCCTGCTCATTCATTTGACCTTATTCTCAAGTGGTGCACTTCAGCCTTTCTTTGAGGTTCTAGGTTCTGTTCTGAATCATTGTACCTACTTTAAACAAACAAACAACAGTAAGTTGTGGTTCTTCTAAACTCTCTCGATTACAGAATTTGTAAAGAGTGTCATTTAGTTTTCATGTTTCAGCAGTTATATTAATATCCTGTAACTGAATGTGAATGTAATTGGTAAATATTTTTATTCTTTATTACACTCAAGTAGGTAGCTTCTTAATGGAAAAATATTTTTATACAGTCCACAAATTTTCAAAGAGTTTTAATATTTTTGATTCTTTTATTAAAAAATAAAGTGATAGAATGATTTCTGTCCCCATTTGGCATCGCCTATAAGCTTTATAATTCAACCTTGTAACAAAACGTACTGTCCTGTCAGACTCAGAACAAATTGTAGTTCACTCTTCAAGAGCTCAGTAACTTTCTCTGCAGGAAGCCTTAGATCAGGAGCACGGCTTTTATCTTGCCAGCTGTTTCAAGTTTTGAGCTTTGCCAGGAGGCTCTGCCCTTTCTGCCACATTTCAGCAGTAATTAGTCGGGGTGAGGCAGGACGATGATAGCAGCATGCTGAGGTGGGCAGTGGGTGTCATCCTGGAAAATGAGCGTTGCCCTGCGTTTCTCAAGGCTTCCTTGCGAGCCCAGTGTTTATCAGGAGGGTGTTATCAGGGTGATGCAAGGGGATGACATCAAGTCACTGGTGTGAGGTGGAGGGGCAGGGTTTGGCCATGCTGCAGCCTCTTTTTGTTCCTGTCCTGAGAAGTGTTTAATACAACATCTAATCGTTTTGTCACGATAACCCCTACTTAGTATAAGGCTCAAGGGGCGAGCAGACTATCCCTTGCTTCTCACTTCAACACCTTTTCCCCCCAGATTGACGTTTTTCGCCTCTGCTCAGCTCCTGAGCCACCTGCAGCCCCCCCCCCCATCCCATCCCTCTGGGGCGTCTGCGTCGCCCAGCAACCCTCAAAATGGCCGCGGCCGCGCGGTGCACGCCGGGAGTTGTAGTGCCGGGACCCTCCCATTCCTTTGCCTTCTCCAGGCACAGGACTCGCTTTCCCATGAGGCATCGCGCGCCAGGGGAGCGGCGCCGGCGGAGGCGCTGCGGGAGTGGGCTGAAGGAGGGGATTTACCTGCGGGGAGGCGGACACAGGTAGGGCGTGGCGCGGGGCCTGCTGGGACTTGTAGTTCGGCGCGGCGAGCCCGCTCGCTGGGCAACAGCGCAGCGGGCCGGCGGAGGAACTACAACTCCCAGCGCGCCGCGAGAAGGAGCGGGCAGGGCGCCGCCTGAGGGCGGGGGGTACGAAAGGGAACCTGCCGCCGGTGCTCCCGGGGGTCGCCCCCTGAGGTGAGGGGGCGGCGGGGGGCGATGAGGGGAGCCCCGGGGGGCTCTGCCCAGCGCTGTTGGGGGCCGGGAGAGGGCAGGTGGGGGGCGAGGAGGCGAGGGGGGAGGCCTCAGGCCCGCTGCCGGCACCGGGCGCCCCCCTGAGGGCCGCTGGGCGCCTCCTGCCCCCGGCGTCGCCTCGTCCCCGCCGCGTTAATTGGGGGGGGTGTTAATGAGCTAAGGCGGCGGGTGGTGTTTCTGGCGGTCTGGGGCTGTGAGTGGGTTTTTGGGGTGTTTGTTTTCGTGGGTAAAGCCTCGAGACGGCTCTGAAATAGGTGGCTCTGAAATAGGTATTAATTGGGCTGGTTTGGAGGGGGGAATTTGGGGGGAATTTGGTAATTTGGGGCCTTGAGCTGGTGGTGTGGCCAAGGGGGGCAGCGGCGCCCTGGTTGTGACAGGGAGGAGGTGACCGTCCCCCTGTATCTGCTGTGCTGAGGCCACACCTCAGTGCTGGGGAGGCTCAGGTTGGAAATGAGGAGATGTACCCACTCAAAAAGAGCAGTCAGGCCTTGGGACAGCTTCCCCAGGGAGGTGGTGGCATCACCATCCCTGGGGGTGTCCAAGGAAAGGTTGGACGTGGTGCTTGCGGTCACTGTTTCAGTGGGTGACATTGGTTAGGAGCGTGACGGTTGGACCAGGTGATCTCGAAGGTCTTTTCCCACCTTAATGACTCACGTTTCCAAAAGATCATCCCCTGCAGTGTGTGGCCACGCCATGGGCAACCAAATTACACCATGGGCAACCAAATTACACCGCTGTTCACCTCTGCTCACACTTCTTAAGACTTGTAACAGCAGGAGGTGTTACTGTGCGTTGACAGAGCAGCACATGTTGGCGTTAACTACCGTCTCCTCTAGGCGTGTTCCAGGCATGTAACTGCATTTGAAGCAAAGCCTAGCTCAGAGCAGGTAACTTCATTGTCTTGTGCAGGTGTGTCGTCCTAATTGTTGGTTGCTGGCGCATTATACAAACATTTGGATGTAAGGGCAGGGACAGTAGGTCTTTTCACAGGTGTATGGTAAGGAAGCTGGAAAAACAAGTCCTGCTTCAGCTTTAATTTAGGAAAGATTGTTGTAAGCGCAACCCGCATCTGTTCTTCTACTGTGCAGGTTTATTGTGAAACACTTGCAGTGTCAATGAGAAATTAGCAGTCAGCCACACATTATCAGCCTGCAGCATTACCTGAGGAAGATGCGGTGTTCTAGAGCATGCCCCTGAAGGAGCTGGTAAGTGAGAGCTTAGGCTGCTTTGTGAGTCTGCATTTTGACTTTCCTAATGCTCTGCTGTTCTATCACAACTAATTCGAGGTCACATCAGAATTAAGAAGCACCATGGCAGTGCGATGAGGGTGATACTGGTTTAAACTCTGATTTGCTAAGTGAATTGTAAAGCCACCTGAAATTTAGGCAATGCAACTTTTTACTTCCTTTTTTTTTTTTCCTTGTACTTGAAAAAATTGCCTTGCTCATACAAAGCTCCTGCAACATTTAACATGAGAGATACTGACAGTGCAACGGAGATAATAGATGCACAGCTGCATGTATGCAAGGTATAGACTTAAAGCTTAACTGAAGGACATCAGATTCCAGGAGTGGGAGGAAAAAATCACTGAGTGTTTAGTATTCATCATGAATTGCTTTCATTTTTTAAAGGGCAACAAGAGGAAGAGTTTACTTAGTGAATCTTGACATGCTTAGCTTATGTGTATTGTGGCATTTGAGACGCGAGTTGACAGTGATTTGAGATTTCTTTCTAATGTGGAGCTCTGGTGTGAAATACTAGTTTTAATTAAAATGTCTGTGTTCTCATAACTGTTGGCATCTCAAGCATAAATACGTTCTAATTTGGGCTCCAGTTTGTGCATGACATTATCTTTTTTTTTTTTTTCCTCCTTACTCCAAAGAGAAAACACTACCAAACATAAAACATTCTCAGAGCTTGCAAATTGTTTTGCTGCAAGTGTCAGATCCCGATCAAACTCTTGTGCTTAATTTAAATACTCAAGCCTCATCTGTCTCATTCGAGGCATGGTTAGTCTTCAGCGTGTACTGAACATCTTAGAGGCTCTAGGGTTTTTCACTTCCTAAAGTTAAAATTACGGTGAAATACATCATTCAGGTTGGCAATAAAGTGGTTCTGATTGACTTGTGGCTGGAAAGCAGTAAAATGGGTTGTTATTTCAGTGGTTTTGCAAGGGGAGAACAATTAACAGTACAAATCCCTACCTGAAGTTGCTTTCTTGTTTCAAAGTTCTGAGCTTGATTTATTCTTTGTGTAAGTCAGAAGCACTTTGCAGCCTTGCCAAGGTGCAGCACAATCGCTTTAGGAACACTAGATGTGTTTTTCATATTACTGCAAATAAAGAATATGGATGCTTAGAGCTGTCTGACACCTTTCACGGGCATTACCCTAAATGAAAAAGTAGCTGTCTAGTGTTACCTTCATGGCCTGAATTCTCCCTCTTTCAGACAGATGTTATTTATGTATTATCTTAAGGGCTTGTAATTTTTCCTGGCAGAAAGCGAATCCAGCAGGATGTGAAGAAGTGGTTCTGGGACCTGGATTAAAATGTAAATTGAGCAAACCCAACATGAGTTTAATATGTTTGGGAGTTTGAAAGCAGTTTGTTCACGCCTGTCTTCCTTTTCCTGCATTCAAAGCTGGTTCAACAAACAATGTATATAGAAAGCTTAAATATTCTGTCTCTCACGGGGTAAAAAATTTGATTTGAGAGCAAATAGATCTCATGTCCTATTTCTCCTGGAACAGCTGCAGGACATGTGTTCTAGTTTGTTACAACCAGTAGTGGCTGTGAACAAATATCTGCCCGTAAATGCAGCACGATTGTTGATTAGTATCTTAATTTATTTTCAGAATGGAAGTGTAACCAATATTGAACTCTTGCTGTGCAGCTATTTTAATTTACAAACAGGAGGATCAGGTGGCTAGTTTCCCAAATGCTTTCTTGTTTAGCATGACTTGCTCCTGAAAATGAGTGGTTTTTCTAGGTAACAAGAATATGCTTGTTTAAATAAATGTCTTTTTCATCTTTGTTCCTCTAGTATTTACAGATATTATAATAGCAATTGGGTATTGACAAAAATCCGTGCATAGCTTCCAAAACAATTTATCAGCAAATGTCTTTACCGACTGTAACTATTTACCCCGGAGGGAGTCTTTCTCAACCAAGAAGCGGTATCTCACTTTGAAGGTGGGTTGTAGTGAACTGATAGGTAATCAGGCAAGCTTTTAAAATCCATCCATCCGTATGCAAATCCTCGAGATTGTTTTAATGTTACTCTGCGGGAATGCCTTGAAAAAAACCCTCAAGTTGTGTTACTTAACTTTTACTGCAGTAGAAGGGCATAAAAAAAAAAAATCACCCCATTTTTTAAAAGGTTAAATGCACAAGTTAAGGTTGCACCCATGTAAGCTAAAACAGATTTATCCAGAGCATTTATATAAGTGCTCTTATACTGCCGTGCACAAGGAAAGCTCTCTGTCAAACTGGATGAGTGCAGCGCCTGCATCAGCAGTCATTTACTGAGTCATAAGTGGCTTCTGTTCTGCTGAAATGTGCTCAAGAAGAAAGTGTTGCCTTCAAAGCTCTCAGCTAGGTGTTCTCGGCTTCTGGAGGTGCGCGCTGTGCTCCAGAGAGGTTGTCTCCTTTCATCTGCTGAGATGTGTTCACTTTTTTGTTAAAACAGGTGTTTGCATTTGAGGTATCTTGTCACTTCGGGTATTGCTTCTTAAAAATATATATTTTCAGGCAGCGTTTTGTGAACCTAACTGTAGGATAGATGTGTGTATCTCCATCCTTGCGATGTTTAAATCGAAAGGCATCGTGTCAGTGCAAGCTTTTCCTGCTCTCTTCAAATCCTCATTAGCTGGAGAAGTTACTTGTAACAGTAAAACTGGAGTGTGGCTTTCAGGATTTTCAGTCCTTGATCGTGAAGCTTTTAGCTGATTGCAGAGGATAATAAGGAGTTTTCCCACTGAGCTGGGCTAATCTTATTTTGAAGTTTAGGCACTGTGTGTTATACTTTAAGTGATTTTAAAAAAAGCTGAATGGAAATTAATCATAGGAACTGTTCAATGACTTCTTCAGCTAAACAGCTTGCCAAGGGTTACGATGCATATTTGAGAGTAATTTGAAATTCATCCACTGGATTTTTATGTGACAGAAATAGTGACAAATGTCAGTCTGTGAAATGACTCACTAAAGAGCTTTTCCCCACAGCTGAAGGC